TCATAAGGTGAGCTTTGGTCTTTCATATTTCAGACTGTTCTTTTCGAAACTTTATTCAGGTAAATTTCATTTTTATATTAATCTAAAACCAGAAATTATTTAAAGATTGAATCCTGCATGTTGAAGAGATGATGCTTTTCTTCCTGTGTGAAATCATTGTAGTCTCTGCTTCTTATTTCAGGACTGCGCAAATTCCAAATGGAGAGGTAAGACATTCATATGTCATCGAAGCTACATTATTTGTTGTGATAGTTTGACGTTTGTCCAGTGCCTCGTGAGTGGTCCCCACTGATGTACATCCACATTATCTTTAATTTCTGTATGGAATCATTCATGCTTATATTTAGAGATGGAAAAATTAAGCACAGACATTTGTGGTCATAATGTTTTACAGCCTTTTTGGCCTGCTTTACCCTGATGATTACTTGAATAAACTCCTGGTCAGTCCAAGAGTTATTCTTTGAGTGATTTTCGTTTAGACAATAGGCAATATGCCTGATTTGAGAATCTTAGTGAGTTGTCATTTTAATTTTGTCAATTAAAACGCTTACAGAAACATGTGCTCAGTCATTGAGCTTATTACCTGTTAATGATTGTTTTCTTCTTTTTTTTTAGTTGGTTTACCATCTCTTACAGCTAATTGCATTCACTGTGCTTGCAATCCTAATTATGAGGTTAAAACTGTTCCTCACACCTCATATGTGTATAATGGCCTCGTTAATCTGTTCACGACAGGTAAGTAATGAATTACTACATTCAGATTCTTTGTATTTTAATCACTTGTGTTTGAGCAAGTAACTGTTCAAGTTCAGTTTAGGGTAGAGAACGACACGCCATATGTTTGCAACAAAATTACATACCCTTAAAATCTACGTGTAAAAACTGTTAACCTAAAACATTCATTTATTTTGACATGAGAAATATAAACTTCTAGTTATTTCTTCATTTCATGTTTAATAGAGGTTTGCATTGAGGTAAAGGCATTCAATGCCAGATAGCTCTTATCTATAGAATCAGATCAAAGTTTTCCTCAGAATCAGCAGTACAGTTAGAAGATTTCTGTTTGGCTCTTTCCTCGGCCAAACAATTTAAAGGAAATTAAATTGCTTTTAACGTGTATGACTTTATTAACTTATTTTATTTGAAGGAAAGTGGGGGGGACTGATTTTGTTTTTTAACTTTTCTTCTTTTTTTTTCCCCACTGATGGCATTTTTTATCTTTTCAGCTTTTCAGCTGGGCAGGACAGAAGTACCGGCACCAGCTGCTGGTCTTTGGGATTCTTTCCATTATGGCTGTTCAAGGGGTGGCCAACCTGCAGAGCCAGTGGAGCATCATGGGAGAATTCAGCAACCTGCCCCAGGAAGAGCTGCTGGAGTGGATTAAAGCGAACAGCAGGTCAAGTGAGTGCCGAATGTTCATGGGCTATATGCCAGGTCATTGTGTGATGGAAGAGGTGGAGATGCAGGAAAGAGGGGGCGTATTCAGGCAGTCTTGGTCATTGGGTCGTTTTGTAGCTAAGTGTATCTCAAGTTTCTAAAAATCTCAAATTAAAATGTCGTTATACAGTTCTCCGTGCTGGTGGACAGTGTCCTCTTTGAAACAGGAAAAGGGGGAGTTCATGTGTTTGGGTATTTCTGTTTTTGAAGTGTTGTCATCCGCTATAGTGGGGGACGATACTACTTCATTAGAGCTGCAAATGATTCCATTTTTGCTGCGCATCAATGTACCTGTGATGGAGAGCTGAAATACTGTTGTTCCACAAAGTTCAGCAACCTGCCAATAATCACGTAATTCTGCTTCAAAACCACTCACAAACATGGTGGCCCAAATTAGCAACATGTGGACTTGGAAAAGTAAAGAAATGGCAGTCCTTTAATACTGCAATAATACTTAAATTCTGCCTATGAGTTCCTGCAATATAATTTTATTAATATATTGCAGTAATTGCTGCACATCATTTTTATTTTATGCAGGAATGTAAGGTTAATATTAAATAAAACATTTGTTCCGTGGAGTTAAACTTCCACTTGCAAGCATGTTCATTAGTATAGTTTTTAGCGTAAGTCGGTATGCTGGATGGTGGAGATCTGGCAGGTGTTTAACCCCAAAGAATTTATTTTCATCTGGACAAAATCATACTCCAGATTTGACTGTATTTATGCCTCTTGAGCTTTTTCAGTGGTATGTGCAGGGATCTAGCAACATGGATAGTGTTGCTGCCAGATCAGCGTGCCAATTTCTGCAGATTTGTACAAACCAGTACCTCCAACTGGCATTTTAATACCATGCTATTATGAAACAAGACATTGCAGATGCTGTTTCAAGCTTAATTGGAAGTGTTTATGTAAATTGCAGCTCTGCAGAATAACTCCTGTATTCTGCGGGGGACAGTCAGAAGCTTCAGTAAAGACAGTTCTTTTGTATTTCCCTTATGACCGCATGAATCTCATTGTTACTAAAATTACAGAATAGGAAACCAAGTTAGCATGCTCCAGAAGGGCCCCAACAGCTCACGTTTTCAGACTCTACCACATCGAAAATGCAGCGTTGCTGGAAAACAAATTTGCTCCCTACACTTCCTGGCGAATTTCCTATGTAAATCTAGGCCAAATTAATTGAATGGCAGTTGACCCAGCCACTTACTAGTTGTCAGGCTGCAGGATTAGATCTTCACATAAGGTGTTACTGATTCACCCTCTGCAGTTAAATGCCATATTCCACCTCCTTTATTCTAAAATTATACTGTCTTCCTCAATTAGACAATCGAGAGAACCTTATAAGGTTTCTGAGTTGCTGTCAAAGCTAAAGGTTGATGTGGTTCTGTACCCTACAAAGAGGAAACGTTTAATTTTGGCATCGCCTGTGAATGTTGGTACACAGTGCCTTGAAAAATATGTCCTATTTTGTTGAATTACAAATGATGATTAATAGAACAATATTCTAGCAAGTGAAATGTATCCTGGCAATCTCCCAGAAAAGGAGGGGGGGAAGGAGAAAGGGATAAAAAAAGGAGATCGGGGATGCTAACTCGGTGCCTCGCAGCTGTGAAGCTCATGTTCTGGCGCGAGTAACTGTGGGAGTGCTTTCAGACGCGGTCTTTGCTGGAGCCATGCCCACGATGGCAAGTGTGAAGCTGTCTGCCATGAGGCCGGTCGTGAACCACCCGCACTACGAAGACGCAGGGCTGAGGTAAACGCATCGCCCAGCACGCCTTCTGTGTTGACTGAGTTCCTGTCTTAGACGTTCATGAAAGACTGCCTTACAGCTTGACCCCCAGCGTCGTATTCCCCTGAAAGTCCATGTCTTCTGCTGCTCTTGTGTGCATGTGTGTTTCTTGGTGCGCCTGAAAATAAATGCCAGTTTGGAGTGTCTTTTATGTTTCACTGGATTGCTGAGGAAAAACTGTAGTAAAATAACGTTTTCTAAGAATGCAGTGTGTCCTGTCTTTAACGGTCTTCCCTTGAATGGATCTTGGATACAACTGGCAAAATCTGTTGTACAGGCAATGGACTCCCCCCTCAAAGAATGGACAGAGTCCCATAAATGGACAATGGATCTGGACAGCATGACAACAGACTGCCCTCAGAATAACGGCCCGTGTCCAGTAAATGGGCAGAGAGTATACAGTACACGTATACTTTTGACCATATTCCAGTGCTTTGGAGCTCAAAAAAGCCCTCGCTGCTACTTGAACTGAATCTCGGCAATACTGGATACCCTTCCTCTGTAAAGGCGATATTGTATTTGCCTTGTTAATTTAAAAAACTTTACAATGAAAATCAAAGCTTTAGCAAACCACCTAATGCTAACCTTCATAAATGAATAATTATCGGTTTCTAAAACTTAACGAATAACATTCAGTGCTTTTGTTCCATTGGAGGTTTGTTTAGAAAATCCTATTGCCTTACTACACTGTTCACGTGGAATTTATTTATTTTTTCTGTTTCTGCATCTCTTGACTTCTTCAGGCAAAGGACAAAGCTGGTATATGCAATGTACAGCCGAAAACCTGCAGAAGAAGTCAGGGCTAATTTAGTGAAACTTGGAGTGGACTATTTTATTTTGGAGGATTCCTGGTGTACAAGGAGATCCAGGTAACACGCCTTCAACGCTCTGCATGTTTTGTACAGAAGTGCTAGTTTTAGAACAGTCCATATTAAGGTGGGGTGTTGGTAAACATTACATTTTGTAACGGTTTTACTTCTGTGTCAACTCCTGTATTGTGGCAGCGTTCATTAATGTAAAGGGTGCAACTGTAAGACTGTAGGTTGTAAGTCGTACCATTCAGAGAATCAATATGCTGATAACATTTTAAAACTAACAGCGCTTTCCTGCCAGCACAGAGGGCTCAAGTTTAAGCAAGGAGATGCCTGTGTTAAAAAAA